ATCAGCTGCCTCCTGCACACTCCCTACTGGGGATGTGCCCACAACCAAGGTACATGCCCTTGACCGGAATTGAACCTGGGACCCTTGAGTCCGCAGGCTGACACTCTATCCACTGAGGCAAATCAGTTAGGGCATGGGAGATGTAGCTTTAACTTGGATGTGTCATTGAAGGATGGACAGCAGTTTCTACCACAACAGTGTTCCAGAGCTTTCCTCCGATTCTCAAAGGTGTCTATGACACCAAGTGGCATAAGAAACTCTGCTTTACACAATGGCTGTGAGAGTCGGGATCATGGCCTATCAGCATCACCCTGGCACTGGGATCAGCATCCCCAGATTACTTAGGCTAAGCAGAATCTCATTCGCCTCACTCACCCTTCCTAAAGGCTTGCTATGGGTCAGGCTTTGAACTGACAATAAGCTAGTCCCAACCTACCCTCAAATCATGACTTCTCTTCCTTGCCAGCTTCCCCAAAGTGCACCTTGTTTCGAGAACAAGCCACAGTGAAAGATGATGGCGACAAATATATTTTGTGTGAGGCAAGTGGGTTCTACCCAAAGGACATTAATATAACATGGTATATATATACCCAGAAGAATCCCCAGGGCCAGGAGATTTCTGAAGGCATCACCAATGGTCCAGCCATCAAGAATGAGGATGGCACATTTAACATCACCAGTTGTTTGAGGCTGAACCAAACTCTGGAACACAATGTGACCACCTACCAATGTGTGATAAGTCACATATCCTTGCCCACCTCCAGGAGGTCGAACTTCACCCTGTCTGGGAGAGGTAAGCATCCTCTAAACGTGTACCTTACTCTTCACCTTGAGGGGGTATAACGTAACACTCAGGTTCCCAGTTAGTCGAGGCCAAAATGGGGGCCAATGGGGAAGGAGAGTAAGCTCGGTTTGGCCTACTTCAGCCCCAGAGTCAGCAGTCCAGGCTTGGTCCCTAAGCCAGGGTGGATCGCCTAATAGCTAGAGAGGGGTGACAAGCGTCCTCAGGGTTGCTGGTAACTTATGGCAGCTTAAGGAGCTGGATGGTCTGTATGACCTGGAATGGGAAGCTTGTCAGCTACTAGGAGAAAGGGGATAGGATCTTGTCCATGCCCCCTGAGGATAAGGGTCTATCAGGGGCCAGAGACCCAACCCTACCAGCAACTCTTCTGTCCAGGCTCCAGGGCCACTGCAAACTGTTGGCTGGTAGAAGTCAAATCAATAGTTCTGTGCTCAAGCTGGGGAGTCCATTGTAGGGAGTCCTGCAAATGCCAAGGCCTTTCCCCAGGCACACTAGATCCTGAGCTTAAGACAATACAGCTCAGTACAGAACACCCCCTGTTGGTGGGGTGGGTTAATTGAGCTCATATCTTAGTTTCCATGGTCATGGCTCTGGTCCTGGGTGGGGATGATCTTGTAGGTCAAATGCATCTGCCTAGAGCTGAGAGGGGTTAGGGAGGCAGGGGCTGCTTGATTTTGCCAGATGCGGCTTTGAGTGGTCCTGGAGGGAGAGAGGAATTGTTTTTGGAAGCAAGGGCCAGGGATGTGTATGAGTGTGGTGTGTGTAGAATATGTGTGGGACATGGGAAATTTGGAATTGAAATATGCTTTGTGTGTATAATACAATATAATGCTATCTAATAATAGAGAAACATGGTAATTAACTGTAACGGCAGCCAGGCTGAAGCGAACAGGAGGCTTGCTTGCTCCAGTGATGGAGGAAGCCAAGGTTCCCCGCCTGCCGCTGCCGGCCTCTGAGCTGCTG